TACTCAACAGAATTAAATTGATGCTTTTATCATTTATCATTACCAACACAGAGAAAAAAAGCAATCTAAGTTCAACTTTCATTCATACTATCTAAGCGTGTTTCTCAAGTTCAAACCTAAAACGACTTTATAGAAGTCATTAGGTGTGCATTTGGAGCACTTAAGCATTTCTCTATGGTACCTTTGATGTACTTATAAATGAACACTACTTAATTGAGTATTTTTTTACTCAAGCTTTTTAGCCCAACTATCAAGATTCTCAAGGTTTTTTTTTAACTGATATACTTAAATCATTTAGTACAATATAAATCAAAACTTAGTATGTACAAGGGTGAAACTGAAGACAGCTAATATACTAATATGCATTGTATAATTTCCGATGTAATTACTTGTATGAAACAGCTTTGAGGCAAATGAAAACTAGGATATATCAAGCAGACTCGTTGATTCACCAGCTTACTCATTGCCTTGGGGCTATACTATCACGTGTCACATTCCTTTATTATAGAACTGGAACAAGAAAAATAGCACCTGACATCTTCACCTTATTATCGCAACTTTTCTCAGATTTTAATTTCATTATCAATCATCTGTGTATTAATTTGTTAGGATGGAATAGTGTCAAATAAATTTCAGGGAAAGAAAGTATAAATGTATCAAATAATTATATTTTATGCAAGCCATACCTTATACAAAATTCTATTAATATTCAACTATTAATAATATTCCGTGGTGAGAAATCTTCATCTATCTGACTATTAATCACAATTTAGGATGTTTTATTACATATTGTGTTGTCTTTAAAGTCATAATAACCACTGATATTAAGACAGTATATCAATTCAATGCAATACTAACCAGTGTATTTTTTTCAAAATGTCATAAATTTTGTTCAATCATTTCTGTTAAACTGTTTTACTCCCAAAGTAAGGCAAATAATTAAAAATGCCCAAGACGCTAGTTGCCATTTGGGAAAAAAATGTCCTGAGCTAATTTGGAGACAACAGAATCTCACTCAGAATCTCGCCAGTTTATCACATGTATCATGGATGAGAGCTGGTCAGAATCATTACAGATAGCAGTAAATCAGTTTATTTCAACAGAAATCCAGAAAAAAAAACCTGTTACTCTGTCATTAGAATTTGTAAGTGAGGCAATACCTCACGTCAGACTTAGATGCAACAAACTCAAAACAAACAGAGGCATTTCATCATGGACTATGCTCAAATTGTTGTCATTAGCAATGACTCAGAAACTTGCATTTAATTTTTATAATAGGTCCAAGACACAAAACAGAGAATTATTTCTCTGTGTCTTTTCGTCAAATGTCAAATGATGATTATAATTTTAGCCATAGTTGATAATAGGATATTGTTTTTGCCTACCCAAATTATAATAACAGTGATGTGATTGATGAGTGCATATGATGTTGTCTCATGACAACCGTTTTCTATAGAATAATTCATGGTTTACTAGTATATTTTGGACGAAAATCTTTTTTGTTAAATGTATTTTTGTGCCAGGTGACAGATCTTGATGTTACTGTTTTTTTTTTGTGTCTTTTTCAAGAGTGAATTGCAAGTGTGAGTAATGATATATAGTGCATTTTGCCATAGAAACCATATTCTAGTTTGGGACAGGACTGTGTGACCATTTTCTTTTTCTTTTTCAATTTAATGCGTTATCCTGGCATCAACCAGACCATGTCAAACACAAGCACCTGAGAACCTTGTTGCAGCTATTAGTAAATGAATCTTGGCCAGTGGATTGTGTATGGGGGCACCATCTTCCAAGGTAGTGGTTTACCTTTTTCAGTGTTCAACTCCAGCTTTTGAACTCAGGTCTATTAATCATGAGTGCCATCAGTTGTAGTAGCTAAATCTGAAATTAATTCATACTTGCTGACTTGTGAAGGATTACCCAAAACCCAGTTTTATGTGAAAAATAAGCATTACAACCAAATTTTACAACCAAATTGTTACACATATTGTATACAGTCATATGGGACGCATACTGATCATGATGACATGCAACAACTGTGATGATGACGATTTGAATGCATCCTGACATTTGGATAGTTAAACAACAACAAAAAAACGTTTTTGTATAAGACAAATGTCAGTTGGATGGTTTAAACTTTGGAGTTGAAAAGGAACCCAATTCCAAAGCTATAATTGATAAAATTGCAATACATTCTTGTATTATAAATAAATAACATAGGGAATATCAGGCACCTTAGTAATTGTATCTTAGGAATTGATGTGACAATGGCTGTCAAATTCCAATGATACTAATGGCTAATTAAATGCATGATGCAACGAATCATTAGCTATTTTCCCAATTACCCATGACTTAGCTGATAACGTGACTTACTGAGGTTCGACTTAGTGAGAGAATCACTATACTATATAATTCCCCAGTCTTGTTCAATGTATCTACAATATTACCAATACTCGTGGTATCTACAATTATAATATACTCATTGCCAGGCCTGCTCATGTATCAACAATAGTAAAATACTCATTCCCATGCTTGCTTGATGTATCTATAATGATAAAATACTCATTCCCAGGCCTGCTCAAGGTATCTGCAATACCACTAATAAAAAACTTAGTCCCATGCCTGCTCCAGGTATCTGCAATACCACTAATAAAATACTCATTCCCAGGCCTGCTCAAGGTATCTGCAATATCACTAATAAAAAACTTAGTCCCATGCCTGCTTGATGTATCTAAAATAATAAAATACTCATTCCAAGGTCTGTTCGATGTATCTAAACCTATAAAATACTCATTCCCAGGCCTGCTCAAGGTATCTGCAATACCAGTAATAAAAAAACCTATTCCCATGACTGCTTGATGTATCTAAAATAAAATACTCATTCCCAGGCCTGTTTGATGTATCTACAGTAATACTCATTCCCAAGCTTGCTCAATGTGTCTACAATAATAAAATACTCATTCCCAGGCCTGTTTAATGTATCTAAACTTATAAAATACTCATTCCCAGGCCTGCTCAAGGTATCTGCAATACCGCTAATAAAAAACTTATTCCCATGCCTGCTTGATGTATCTAAAATAATAAAATACTCATTCCCAGGCCTGTTCGATGTATCTACAGTAATAAAATACTCATTCCCAAGCTTGCTCAATGTATCTACAATAATAACATACTCATTCCCAGGCCTGTTTAATGTATCTAAACTTATAAAATACTCATTCCCAGGCCTGCTCAAGGTATCTGCAATACTACTAATAAAAAACTTATTCCCATGCCTGCTTGATGTATCTAAAATAATAAAATACTTATTCCTAGACCTGCTTAATGTATCTACAATAATATAATACTCATTCCTAGGCCTGTTCGATGTATTTACAATTATAAAATACTCATTTCAAGGCCTGCTCAATGTTCCCACAATAATAAAATGTTTATAAACTGACCAAATTACAACTTTGATACTATTTTCTTCTACTTTTTTTTCTAAATTCAAAACACAAATAATTTAACAAAACATTGCAGACAGACTGACAGTTTCCTCCTATACTACTCTATTTCAACCACTTCACTCCATACACAATGACTCACATATTGCTAATATATATACATGTCATGAAACTGGTCAAAATCTCACGGTACATGTAAACTTGCCTCAGGGGCAGTTATTCTATAAATAATTACCTCAAGTCAATACTCAATATTTACCACACTTGATCAAACCACTAATGGATGGCACCAATGTTTGTCGCTTTTAACCTTTTTACCACTAGCTCCCTCTTTTCATCACAAATTCACAAAATGGCCCTGTTTATAGTCTACACTTTCGTTCAGTAGATTGGGACAGAAAATTTTTGAGTAAAAACTGAAAGTTAGAATTCACTTCCAGAAATATTGAAGAATATAAGTAAAAAGTGCTGAAAAATTTTGGCGAGAAAGTCTAGTGGTAAAAAGGTTAACTCAGCTTAAACATTTAATTTTTCATATCAGTGTCTCCAGCAGATAATGATACTTGACATGTTTTTAATGCACACAAATTAATTTTGTAGTTACATAAATATTATTATTAAAACATGATTACAGATAAAAAAGGAAAAAAATGTGTTTTCCTACACTATTTGAGGTTTACTATAATTGGCTGTGGAATTAAAGCAAAGCTAAAGAAGGTGAGTGTAAGTACATGTACATATACGTCTAATAGAGGAAATTCAGTGATGGTGCCAATATTGTTAAGACATCATTAGTGCAACCAATGGTTAGTAAGATGAATGGATGACAGACTAGTACTGGCAATCAGGGACGAGTGCAACATCAGCATCATTACATACAAGTATACACAATTATTTTAACACATGCTATGACATGTTATGTAACTAATATCATTATATGCTGGTCAAAATATAATCAATAGGTCATGAAATGATTGCATAAATACATTTTTAACAAGCAGATTGGCAATGACCTGTGTGAACTGATTTGTTCAAATGTTCAAGAGATTTGAAAGGGCAAATGATTTCAAGGACCTTATAGAACAATTTGAGCAAATAATGTCTAGAAAAACAAAGAATAAGGATTTTTTTTTTTAAATGTTCTTCAATATCCTCATGATCGGCTATAAGATCGCATACATTAAATTAGCGCTTTTATTGAAAAAAAACTTGAATTTTGATTTTTTAAGGCAAACATTTTATATAAACAATTGGGATTGTTTAATTACCAAAGTCAACAAACTTCAAAATTATATGGTACGATGTTTGTTTTCTGAACTTTCTATGCTATGTCAACACTGCGAATATAAATTTGACATTGACGAGTCAGCCAGCTTTAGAATACGCCATACAGGAAATTAGCTGATTAGTCGTTGGCCGATAAAACGCATATAACTATTTATGTTGATTTACCGCTATGATCGATGCAGGAATAACGGAAATTATTTTCAGGATTTTATGACTAACATTAGGATCGATGATTTCCGCGACGTATTGTGAAAAGAAAATACTCACTGTAAGGAACCGGTCTGCGTTGTACAGCACTGATAAAACTTCTCGCAATCTCAATGAATATTTGTAGACCATCTTCTTGGACAGTTGTTTCTGTTTCATATCCGGCTCCATCTGGAAGATCGTCGAATATTATAACTCCGTCTGTTGTTATCCTGTTTACAGCCGAAGTATAACAGACACAGACAGCTAACGTTACAACCAGTATTAATAAAGTTCTGGTCTCCATATTGCAGTAAAAGTTGTTCTTATATAATAAGGCACGTGACGATCTGATTCATTGAAATGTTTCCGTCAACAACACGTCTGTAGACTTCCAAACTATAGCCCAGGATTTTTACGAAAACAGCCCTTAACTTGTGGGATAGAAATATTCACGATATCAACAGACTTCGGAACTTTCACCTGCTTGTCACAGAAGACGCGAGATACCTGTCAAATCGGCAGTTTTTTAAAGCAGACGACAACGAACAGAAGGTCGACAACTCTTAAATCAACGACGATCTCACTACCAACTTGGGTGTGTAAAGCAAACTGGCGCTCCTCAAATTATCCGATCATTTCCGAGGTGTGTCACAGAAAGTCTTTCTGACTATCATTTGTGGATTTGTTGTTGAAGATTTCTTGAAACTCATCGGCAACTTCACACTCACCCGCTTCCAAATGACTCATTTCACAAATGACTAGACCCCCTAAGGGCAGTAAAGCTAGTTAGCTAATATCGATGAAACATTGAGATAGGGAGTCTATCTCGCTGGCCAAGTTACCTCGTTGCCATGTTTTGTAGTGTGCATTCGTCTAAAATTGGAATTAATATTTAAATAAATCTAAGTAGATTACAAGTTGTAGTGAAATATATATTCATCATATTTTTTTGAAATGTGATAATAACTCATCAGGCACGGGTCTGGACAGGTTGTCTGTACTGCATGCGCGTGTCCGCCTTGTTGACCTTCCCCTGGGCGTTCTGATAGGTTTTATTCTATAGACATGTTTTATACTGCGTACACAACTTTGGGAAAACAACCAAACTACTCAAATTAGTCGTAACACAAAATATCCTAATAGGTGCACATTCGCGCCGTGTAATTTGCGATAAGCATATAACAGAGAGACCATCGGTGCATGTCTGACATGTTTTGAGATGCCCGGAGCAGTATTTTACGAGAAGGGGGTGTTTGCATGTGCGATGTTCTGAGGACAAGCTCACTTTTTTTAATTATTATCAAAAATGTTGGGTTGTTTTCAGTGGGGGAAGGCTTTGGAGAATGTTGTCGAAGTTGGGTAATAATTTGTTTGCCGGCATAGTAGGCAGAATACCGGCATAGAATACCAAGCTCTCTTATATCGATTATAATATCGGTAAAAAATACAATTTCGCAATAAGTGTGGTCTATATTCCCACAGATGGTAATAATTCATACAAACATATCAGAAAACCACAGGGGAAAGAGGGATATGGGAGGGAAGCTTCCGAGATCTCATGGGCCTAGGGAAAATGCGGACGATGAGGTACCTGATATCACTTCTCGGTTATATACTCCAGGGTTTATGTATCATTTTTTTATTTATTTGAACTAAGTCTTATCTTTGAACATATTTTGTATTTACGGTATTGTCTACTTGTATTGAGTTGTGCCCCCCCCCCCCGTAACTATGCGAATAATAACACCTGTAATTTTCCCCTGGATTTCAAACTGGTAAATTCAACTGACAAGTCATGTATGTTTCAATATTGGGAGTTGTTAAATTGCTCCATACTTGTTGACGTTACTGCTAATTTGTAGTGACTGCGCCTGATACATGCAGCTTCTTTTATGCTACCTCAAATAATACAAAGATGACTACCAACATGACTTGTATTACATTGCAATTAATGCAATTGCGTGAACAAAGTGTAGAAATACCAAGAACCTGCCCGAGTGGGGAAACCTATGATACCTCATTGTTGTTCCATTAGTGCCTATGGAACTTCTTCTGAATACGTGCAATATACACTCTAGGTATACGGCAAATGGGTATCGGTAGTAAGGGTTGCCATTTGGCTCCGAAGGAAGAAAGAGAGAATGTCGGCATTTGAAATAAAATAAAATGAAAACGATATCCTAGTATTTTATTTGTCAGCATTTCCCACTATTTGTATGTCAACAAATAAAATCATGGAAAGAAATATTTTGAACTAGCCTTCGTACATTCTGCCTAGTAATATTCGTATCAAAATGCCGTTACCGAATTGAAATTTCATAATGTCTCACTCATACAGAGATGTGTCCAGAGGGCGCTTTCCCCATTTTCCCGTTGATCAACATTCATTTCCATCGTCGTATGCAGCTATTTCTGCAGCATAACTTCGAACTCAATACATGAACTCAAGACTTGTGGAAATGTAAATGTTGTTTATTTTTATCATCTGTGAACCTTGGAACGCCAAGTCTCAAAGGTGAGATAACGTTGCCTTGAAACATTTAATATTAAGGATATCGTTATAATCCAATATTAAAATTCTATACTGAGCCCTCTTGGGAATAAGATTGTGTTCTTTCGTTTTTTATCTTATCATGTAGGAGAATATATAATTCGCGCATGAGAACTCATACATCTAAATTGTGACGTCTGACGTTATGTGTTGTCGAGTTCAGGGTTGATATTATTTATTAAAATAAACTTGTAATGAAATTATAAAATTGTATATAAACATAGTATAATTAGTCACCTTAGGTATAATTCTCGGGGTAAGAGCAGGGGTATTTGTGGGAGATTCACCGGACTTTCGATGTAGTCATGATTTAGTATACTCCTTATAAACTAAATAACAGTATGCTCTCTAATAAAACTTGAACATGTACACTTTCGGGCTAAAATGTAGGGGAAATGATACCTGAATATACGAATATACTGTCAGGCAATAAAACTAAAGACAGATGCTATAAATTGCCACCATCAAATCATCTTGAATTGGGTAATCAAATAAATGTACATACATATGACACCATCTGAAAAAAAACAACATTATACAGGCAAATAAATATCACTAGACATATTAGTGAATAATTGATACAATTTTATTATATTATCCCTGGCGTTTGATAATAATGCGTTTGTGCGTTCTCTCTCATATGGCGTGACCCATGTGCGTAGAAGAAATAACAGTAACATTAAAATACTTCAAAGATTTAGTTTCGTTTCGTAAGACAGCAGCTTGGTACCCAGCCGATTCTGCCATCCCTTGACTTGACAAGCCAACATTCTTTCTTCATCACTTCCACCTCCATTCCTTCTTCAATGTTCAACATAAAATTCTCTTTTGATGAGAAATTTGCTGTGGCAATATATGGAAAATCGTTTACAGTTTCCATGGAATCCTGTTTAGTTTGTTTTGAAGAACCTGAGTTGGTTGAAGAATGAGACAATTTCGTAATATTGTTGTCATTTCTATCAATATCTGTGATTTGTGTCGTTTTGACAGAAATACTGACGTTCTTAAGTCTGGCTCTTGCTTGCTCCAGTTGTTTTGCGGGAGTAATCTCACTCTGGTGATGTGACGTCACTTCCGTGATATCGGACACACCGGGTTTAATCACTTGAGTATCGTCAATCGTCCACTGGTTACGTCTCTTCTCCTCGATATAACTGGATGGGGCCCATCCTTCCCTCTCCTCAATCTTCACAAACCACCACCCATCCGTAGACTTATCCATTACCTAAGCAATTAACAACGCATCATATTTATTATAGGGTATATATGTACGTGTCATTTAACGTCACTTTTGTCTCGCAATTTGAGCGCTTTGCTGGAATCTTATATCTACAAAATATTTGTTTTATGTGACAGTTGAACAAGGTCTAAAAGTGCATCAAACTGCAGTTTTGACATTCCATTTTGGCAAAAATCATGCCCATAGTATAAAATATCACTCTATACTGTCGGCACAACAAACCCATTCTCTTTATTTTTATAGGTGTTTATAAAAGTTCACAATTCAGAATGAAATGATAGGTTTCCATTGACCTATTGTACATTTCAAATGACGTCATTGCGCACTGCACTCGTTGATTGACTGGTTTGATTCAACTACCATTGAAATTGATACATATTGTTAAAATTCGGGGGAATGGGTTTGTTGTGTCGACAATATGATTCAGAGGTCAGTATATGAGAAATCACCAATTTATTAAATAATACCAACTCACTTGAACTTGTTGACCTTTTTCAAAACTGATTCCTTCCTTCAACGAAGCTTGAAATCTGCCAATAGTAAAATATTCACATTTCTCTCGTTTGCTTCTTGTTAAGGATTTCTGTGAAAAGAAGTGTTACATCGTAGTGCATTATTGTTAGAGAAACCATTATGACAATTTTGACATAGAGGGCGCACTAAAGTTTTGAAATCTCACCTTGATGGTTCCTTGTCTCGGAGGGGGTTTGTGTCTAATCATTGGTGAACGCAATACTGTAAGAAATGCAGAAATATTATTATTATCAGAAATATAGTGTTCAGATAATTTGAATTAAATCGTAAACTTGTATACTTTGTATATTACAAACTTAAGAGTCACCGTGACAGTGGTTCAGTGTAGCTGTCACATAATAATGCTGGAGTTGAAATAATTTGTCGACCCCGACTCGACCAGTACTCACCGCTACGAGTAGAGTTTAGAGTGAGGGTATCAGCTGACTTATGTTCTGTTTGGGTATTATCATATGTCTTTTTGAGGTATGTAGCTGGTGCCCATCCTTCTCTGCCTTCATGCCTTAAAACAGGAATAGTAAAAGTTTAATATGAAAAATCGATGATTAGGTCTCGCAATGTAGGCAACATTTTGTCGATTGCAACAATTCGTCAACTGGAGAGCTTCACATTAATTGGTATACCTGACAAACCACCATCCATCCAAGTTCTTTTTCAACACAAGTACAACAACTCCATTATCCAACGATATCTCATCGTCATTTTCAGCTTTATATTTCTGAATGGTTACGTAACCTGTAGAAACAAAAATAAAAAAAATTATCCCAGTGCTTGTTTATTTTTCAAATGATGAAAGAAAACTAATATGCATCACTGAACATGTGAAAGACAGTTTCACATATCGTCAGTCATAGACCACAGACCGCTTAGTGGTGTGGACATGACACAATGACCACATATGCGGCACCCAAACGTTTTTGATTTTATTTTGTCCCTAACGATGAGAAATACATTTGTCGATTTCACGATGCTATTATAAACACAGTTTCATGGAACACAGGGTTCTTATTTTGTTCTATAACTTCAATTAATTCAAAACATATTTCACTGATCAGATATAATGACGCTAATTAACCATATTGATTGCCCAAATTAAGCATATATATATACACGTCAATTATTGTCGATAATCGATATCATTGGTTGGTTTGATGGTTGCGTCATCATCATGTGTAGGTAAACCATTATTTTGTTGTTATAACTCACTCTCTTGTCCATTGCCCACTTCAATCGTTTGGAAATCCTCGTTTATTTGATTTTCCTCGCCAGGTTTCTCTAAATACGCCGCCGGTACCCAGCCTTGCTCTCCCTCCACAACTACGAACCACCAGCCTGTGGGATAGAGAAGTCACGTGTGATTATGCAAATGTATGTCACAATTCGACATTAATTCACGAGTATGCATCCATTATGTAATTTGAATGGATAATAAACTATTAACATTATACAGAAATTTCTGTCATTTTATTGACATGAGAATGGAGAAATGTTACTTCGAATAACTTTTACTTAGCCAGGAATAGCACAGAATGGCACAGGAACACAGAATGTACATACACAACTGGGACATTACAATTTACATACCTGAGTCGTTTTTTTCAATCACTTCTACATTATCTCCAGCATGTAAACTGAGTTCATTTCTTTGTTGTTTGTTAAAATCATCAATAGCCATGTAAGTTTCAAGCTGTATTGGTTGTGATATCACTCCTGGATATGCAAACAAATAATTTCTTTACATTTACGATATTTACATGCAAATCATTGACAAATTGAGTTATGAGTTTTCAATTTTTATAATAAGCTTTCATCATTAATAATACTCTAATGAATAAAAAATGGAACACCTTCTCAAATTCCGGGATTGGGACATTATAATATGTTATTTTTTGACGGATTCAAAATTGTTTCTAAATTTTTCAACAATGTTTTAACCCGATATAACATCAACATTTTACAAATTAATGCGTTTGGTTAAACCACAGAGGGACTGTGGTTAAACATACATTAAAACACAGTTCCTATATCGTGATGGAGGGACTGTAGTTAATACCAATTGAGTAACCTGTGCGTGGTGTTTATAAACACTGAATTATTATTTACATTATTTTTTGCGGCACACAAATGTAATCGTTCGATGAATTGAATAAGATATGATTTGAATTAACAGTACGTATCAGTAATTCTTCCTCTTGCCAAAGACCGGGAAGCAACTATTTGATGTTAGTGCGTATTCTGCCGCAGTCAGAGACCCGTGCATGGTGTAATGATGTTATTGTATAGTGTGTGTCTTCTATCAAACAAATCGTATACTATTATTTTAAGTGAACAAGATATTTCTCAATATAAAAAAATCATATATTGGTCGAAACAAAGTTTTCAGATCACGATAATGGCCGTCTATGCGAAATTGAACAAAATATTGAAAGCCCCTCAGTCGTTCCATCGCGTCATATTTGATATGGGTCCCATGTGACATATACAACGTGTGTAAATCCATTGTTGTTTTACTAGATATATTGAGTGTATGCTGTACGGCAGTGAAATTAGCACTATAATAATGTGGTATAAATAAGTGCTTACCCCGCCTTCTTTTCTCTGAATCCCTAAAATGATAAAAAGAACAAATTAAATTTTTTAAACAAGAAGTTTCATTACAAGACAAGGTGAAACTTGAACTACAAAGAAAGGGTAATTTATACTGGGCACAGGAAACTTACATCATTAATAATCACATTACAAGTATTAATGATACATAGGAAGTCAATACTTTATTAACGGGTACAGCGTACGGGTGTGATTCGAACTGGCGACCATGCCACCCGAAAAATCGCTTAGCTGAAGAAATAGACTCACAGTTTAGTTGGTGGATTGAGATCTTCGGGACGTGCCTCAAAGAAGTTTAAAACTTCCCGACATTCAGATAATTTCGCTGGAAGATGTATTAGTTCCTAGAACATGAAAAACAATTTTCTCATAACGCATTTTGTGGGGTGAGGCGGCGTGTCATTGGGAAATAATTTAAATGGCGCATCATACTTTCCATCGGTCATTGCAGCCCGTCACTGAACACTTGGCCATGATAAAGAATAAGGCAATTTTAATTTTAATTTTGTCATTAACACACCTCGATATCCAAAAGCTTGTTATCATCAAAAAACATCATACGTACTTGGCAAAATTGGTCAATCTTTTCTAGTCTGTCTGAAACAAATCTGCGAGTGTTGATTCTTTGAAATAAATTCTTGCCTGAAATGAACATGGATAATGTAATAAAAGAGATGGACATGGACAAGATAACCTTAAAACCAGACTAGGCTCTTTGTATTAAGCTCTCTTTCCGTGCGCGGAATGCAATGGTTATTTACATGTTTGGTTTGATTGGTTTCAAGTAAAAATAAATAACACTCGGTACCAGTACACGCGTTCATATAATTGTGAATGGAATCACTAAATATTTATCAAAACAGAATAAGTTCCTTTGAAATTTTAAACTAACGCACCGTTGTAGCTTAATTCAGCGAAGTCATGATCACACAGAACATTGAAAATGCAATACAAATTGGTCAACGAATAGCCAGGATTACTCTATTTCTAAATGATTTACGGTAAACCCAGTCAACGAATAGTTTCTTTACTTAATTCAGATGTTTAGCATCTTTATACTTCGGTGTCTTACCTGGGAAGAAGGGAATAATTCGATGAGAAGGGTTATTTGTTCCGGCTTCCTCTGGAAATAGTTCGTGTATTTTAATCTGAGGAAGGCAAGGAAGAAATGCGTTGAATATGAGAGCGTACTGTAGTACAAACAGAATATTTAATATCCAGGGCAACCAGAAAAAGAACAATTAACAGCAAAATATTCTGTGAATATTTGTCGTATCATTTCGATCAATCACGTACAACGTCATTAAGAACGTCAATTAACGACGATTTTCATATTTACATAAGGCTCAATCCGTTATTCAAGACCAGATTACGACAGACCACCTCACGAATTATAAATATACATATTTCCTGACATATGTCCTAACACCAATTAGTATAATTGTTAGAAAGTGAAAAATTTGTCTTTTATAACATTCAGTCAGGGACATTCGAAAAGTCAAATGTTTTTCCCAATGTCCTCTGAAATTTGGTAGCTATGCATTAAAGTCAAGCTGGTATTCTATTTGCTGTTTTGGTTGATTTAACCGAAAGAAATGAATCTGACTCTCGGGTTCCGCAAATAAATACAATTTCCGACATATAAGAGGAACGATCGTATTACGACATGAATTGTAATAGAAGGGATAGATAGTGGTAGTAATAGATTGTTATACAATTTACAATCACTTACGTGAAAATCAAAGAAGTCAGTATATCGTCTATATACTATCTGTGTTGTATGATCAGACCATACGACACGAATGATATAAACCTGATAGGAAGACAAATAAACATGTTACGGCTATTAATTGTACACAAATAAACAAATAAACAAGTAAGTAAACACGCAAACTAACCAAGTAACTATTGCTGCAAATTATAAATGAATCAGAAAAACATTTATTTATTTATTTATTTATTTATTTATTTATTTATTTATTTATTTATTTATTTATTTATTTATTTATTTATTTATTTATTTATTTATTTATTTATTTATTTATTTATTTATTTATTATTTATTTACTATTGTTTATTTATTCATTCATTCATTCAATCAAAGACGCCCACAGGTTT